CCCGCCGCCGCGCCGCTACCGCCTCCCCCGAGTTGCCGAGTCTGTGAGGGCTGCGCCCAGCCCGACTTATTTAAAAGGGGTGGGGACCAGACCGGCGTCGAAAACTACAACCACTGCGAGAAGAGAGCGCAGCCCAAGCTCCTCCTCCGCCCGCAACCGCCTCTCAACTGAAAGCCGTTGTCCGAGCGGGCACCAGCCAACCGGAACGCGCTCTGGGATCACGTGGTGACGAGGGGCCAATCGCGCCCAGCGTTCTCTCCACGCGGCCCGCCTCCCAGAGAAGGCGTGGCTCACCAGGCCCGGCCCCGCCCCCGCCCCAGCGGACCCGCCCCCAGAGGCCCCGCCCCCAGCCGGCGCGCGGCGGACCCGGCTTTCCATTCACCGCGAGCCGCCCGGAGCTTTCCGGTCCTGCGGGAAGCGAAGCCAAGTCCTCCGTCCCTGGGCTCTACGAAGCCCCCGTTGGTGAAAAGCCAGTCGGCCAGCAAGTCGGATTCACCGGGTCTGACAGCTCATTTGATGTATTGCTCAGGAGTGCGCTTAGTTTACCCTCATTTGGTGACCGTGTTTGAATCTACATGCGCCTCCTCTCTGCCACCCAAAAGTGTTAGTGTTCGCCGGCAGCTCGCCATCGCCACCCCCGGGGCCGCGGTCCAGCTCTCAGAGCAGCGATGACTGCGTGTCCTGAATGAGCCTCGAGGACACGTCACCCTGCACTTCCTCATCAGGAAAAGGGGACCCAGCTAGTCCCTCCCAGCTCGGGAACGCGGGGAGTCACCAAGTCGCTTTCCCACGGCAGGAGGCCCCAGATTTTCTCTTTTTTTGTAATATTTTCAATTTATCTTTTTTCTTTGACAAAATCTGCAAACTTAGAACACCAATCCATCAACCAACTTGTCATTCGGAAAATTCTGAAAGCATCGTTTTCTTTTCTTTCTTTCTTTCTTTTTTTTAACATTTGTCCATTCTTGCACAAAACAATTTTAAAACAGAAAGGAATGACTATTTTTGAACACATCCTCTGAAAGTGAGTGTAAATGCAGGAAGCTGATGTAGTCGTTTCACAAGGCTTCAGTTTCAGTTTCTGGAACACTCCTGGGCTCATTGAACTCGGTTTTGGGTATAAAGGCTGTATAATGATGGGCAGTAAGTGGCAACAAGGATGATTAGCCTTTCTCAGTTCTTAAGGCACATGTGCTCCCACCCCTCACAATAATACCAAGTTCTGCTAGTTTTATCCTCAGGTTAATCCAGAACTAACCAGGGCAGCCCAGACTAGATGGTGTCACCCAGGCACAAGCAGCTTCCTGCAGGCACACGCTGTCTGTAAGCTTCAAATTGCTTCTTCCATATTGTTTACAAAGGGTAAGATTTCCATAAATTTTCTCCCTTGCTAGAAAACGTTGTCTTCCATCTACTTGTAAAATATTTTATGTTGATTTTTCCTGTTAACACCATTACAGGTGCCCTCATTCCCCTCCCCCGCTTGGCCTGCCTCCACCCAGTTCCTGCCCCTCCCCCTCCTTCCCTGCCTTACTGAAATTAGAACCATTTTTCTTGCAATAATTTAACTTATTCTCCCGTTTCTTCTAGGAGCCTTTTTGACAGCAGCCTCCTCAGATCAAGCTGATGTTAGAAACCCTGTAGGAGTTTCATTAAACTTGACAGCAGGGAAAAGTTTGAAGAAGTCTTTCTAACCAAGTTTGTCCCCTAGAAACAAAGCTCATACGCTTTAGGACAATCTTTTCCTCGTGATGACCCTATTGCCCTACTGTGCAGACAAATACGTTTTTTAAAAATATTTTTTAATTGATTTCAGAGAGGAAGGGGGAGAGAGAGACAGAAATATCAATGATGAGAATCATTGCTCTGCTGGCTGCCTCCTGCACACCCGCCACTGCGGATTGAGCCCACAGCCCACAGTCCGGATGTGTGCCCTTGACCAGAAATTCAGCCGCGACCTCCTGGGTCATAGGTAGACGCTCAACCACTGAGTCATGCTGGCTGGGCGAGACAAATCTGTTTTTATCTTCACAGCATAGCATCCATCTTTGAAGTACCTCTAGAAGTTTTCTATCAGAAGGGATTA